CCCCCTCAGCAGCAGTCTGGGGAGATGAACAGCTGTCTGGGGAGGGGGGATAGGTGAGTGGGGCAGTGGGATGAAGGGAGAGTAGGGCAGTCCATTCCACCCTGCACCTGATGGCACCAACCACAGCAACGCCACTGCATACAGTCCTTGCTTGTCTCCTAACTTATTATGCAATGCTTAATGTGGGTTGTTTGTATTATGGGCTGATTTATTTCCTTTTTTAAAAACCCATACTCTCTGCCAATAAGTGCTTAAATTTCATGGTCAAAATAAACAGTTTAAATCAGTACAATGACTCAAAATTGACTTTTTTTTTTTTTTTGCATAAGCTTATTCCCAATTTCATTGTTGGCATTAAACCCATGAAGAGATTTTTTTTTAAAGCAGCGTTTGGTCATGGAGCAATGGGATGCCAAAAGAAAAGCTTTACACAAGGGCCTGGGGTGGGGTTGGGGGCTGGTTGGACAGACCATGAAGGAAAATAAATGCAAAAATGGAAAGAGTGAAGTGAAAATGGGGGGGGGGGGGGAAGAAGAGAAGAAAGAAGGATAGACTCTTTGCCAGTCCTTAAAGGAGAAGGGCGGCTTCCATAAAGTTGTGTGCATGGTAGTCTGAGAGGAACAGAGGGAAAGCATTGTGGAGATGTGTGTAAGAAAGAAAGGGGCAGAGTTCCTGCCAAAAGATTGAAGCTTAAAAGGTTCCCAAATTGGGTCCTGAGAAGGCACAAAACCTATTGATGAAGATGGTTCAGATGACCATTTTCACATAGTGATTATTATTATTACGCTTTATTTATATAGCGCTGTAGATTTACACAGCACTGTACATACAGTCAATAAAATAGATAAAAAAAAGATAAAGCCTGCCAATGGCGTATATTCTACAAAATAATAAAATAATACATATTAATACAAAGAAGGAAACAAATTAAAAACATCAAATAATCATCATGCAATGCCTGCTTATATCTTCAAAATAATATTAATCAGTACAATGTGTGCAAATCACCTTACTTTTTCTGCATAAGCATGTTCTCAGTTCATTCTATGATTCTAAGTGCATGAAGAGATTTTTTAGGCGTATTTTGTCATGGAGCTTGTCAAGGGATGTGATACGGGATGTGGGTGGTAGCAAAACCTGACACAAAGGATCCAGGTAGCCAGGCCAGAGCATTTGGCTGATGGGAGAGGCAATCTAACAACATCAGGAGGGCTTCACATTCTCAGGCCCTCCCCTAAATGATAGTGAGGAGCTCCTTGTAATTTGCATAAGGCAGCCTTCTCCAAGCTTGCACACTGGATTTCCACTCCTATCAAACCTAGCCAATGTGAGATGGGAGTTATAATCCCAAAACACCTGAAGGGTAGATGGAGGGGACTGGTATAAGGCAATAGGGATTTATATTTTGCATCAGCCTCCAATTTGTATGAAACCTGGCTAAAGAACAAACAAATGACTGCTGATGCTGAATACCTCCCTGTCAGTGCCAGATTTACGTGCAATCTAAGGAAACTATAGTTTCAGGAGCCTGATGAGAGGCCTCAAAATATGAATAAAGTATCACATTTCAAGTTTTTACAATTTTCTATTTCTATGAGGCTCTGTTAAACTCAACACAGTTTAGCCCAGGGAGGGACATCATATAATGAGACAGTGTTCTGACCACAGTTTCCAGCAGCCCTAGGCAGCATACTTGTTGGTGAGGACTGCTGGGAGTTGCAGTCCAATGAAACATCTGGAGACCTGCCTTTTTCCCTCCCCTGGTTCAGGGGCTCTTTTGCATGTCTTTCTGGCCATGCTCACCATCAATGGGTGCCTGTGGATCCCAAACCGCCCAAAGCTGGACGAGGAAGAAAGGGGCCCAGCAGAATACATAGGTCAGCACAATGACTAGTGTCATCTTGAGAGTCTTGGCCACAGCGCATGATATGGAAGAAGACCTACGCCGGCTCCCCCTGCCCTTCATTGCTCCCTCTGGCCCCAGCTGAAGGCTGCGATGGACCTCGCAGAAGATCATGCCCTGGCAGGTGGCAATGAAGATTGTGGGAAGGATGAAGACCATCAGGGTCACCCATGTGACATAGGCACGGGCTCCCCAGGGCTCAGCAAAGGTGGCCCAGCACTCATGAGCTCCACTGGGCAGTTCCACTTTGGAGAAAATGAAGAGTTGTGGGAGGCTGAGGAGGAAGGAGGCAGTCCAGGCCACCACCACCAGCCGGTGCCAAGTGCCCGGGCCCCTCCGGAAAGCCAACATGGGCCGGCAAATGGCACGGTGGCGGTCATATGTCATGGCCACGATGATATAGGATGAGGCGAACATGCCGACCACCTGCAGATATGTGATGGCCCGGCACAAGATGTCTGGACCCTGGAAGCGGTCTGTGATGTCCCAGATGAGCTGCGGGAGAACCTGGAAGAGGGCCACAGTCAAGTCAGCCAGGCAGAGTTGGCAGATGAAGCGGTGCATGGGGGTAGGAGCGACCCGGTGGCGCCGGCGGAAGAGAGCTCCCAAGACAAGCCCATTGCTCAGAGTAGCTAGCAGGAAGATGGAGGCCAAGATGGCAATTTCCGCTTGAGCCAGGGCCACATCCCTGTCATCGGAAAGGAGAAGGGAAGCATTGGAGGTGGTGGGATCAGGCAGCATCAAAGACAGGTTGAATGTTTGTGTCTGCCAAAAGATCTGCATGTGAGAGAGAAAGAGCAACAGAATGAGAGTGGCCAAAATATGAAAAAGTACAGCCGTCTCTCCATATTCATGAATGTTTTATCCATAGATTCAACCATTCACAATTTGAAAATATTCCCCAAAAATATAAATTTCAAAAAAGAAACCTTGATTTTGCTGTTTCATATAAGGGACACCATTTTATTTACCATTGTATTTAATGGGACTTCATGGTCTGTATCACATTTCCAGGTTTTATATGGTTTTACATTTTTAATATGGTTTTACATTTCTGTGGTCTTGCTATGGGGTTCTTTTATTCTTATATTGTTTACTATTGATATTTTGTTTCTTTATCACACTAAACTCTTATTGTGCTATATTCCACTTTAACTGCCAGGGCGACATTCTATGGCAGACTGCCAGAAATAGTGCAAATTGACTGCCCTGACTCAGTGCTAGAGAATCATGGGAACTTTAGTTTATTGGGCACCAGAGCTCTCTGACAGAGAAGGCTCAATGTCTCAGAAAAAAATACAATTCCCATGATTCCCTAGCACTGAGCCAGGGCAGTGAACTCAATTTGCACTATTTCTGGCAGTCTGAAAAGGCCCTTGGTGAGACCCAAGAGCTCTCTGGTTGAGAATTCTTGACTCTCCCTAAACTGTAAATCCCAGGATTCCATAAGATGTTGCCATGGCAGTTAAAGTGGAATATAGCTCTATACCAGTGGCCATTTGTATGGGGACTCTTGTAGTCCAAAAGCACCACAGCATACAGTTTCCCAAAGCACCACAGCATACCTACATTAATTCAGGAGCTATCCAACTCAGCATGTCAACAAGAAACCACAAGAGACACACATCATGTTCCACAACCCTATGAGGCGGTGCACTGCTATAACTCAATAAAACACTGTGATAAATCTGGGACAGGATTTCAGGCAAGCTACTTATGCACCTGAGGCATTGTAGAAATCATTACTTGCCTACATTACCTTGTAGTCAGTGCTGGTTTCTTGGACAGAGATTTAGGTTTGGACCAGCAAGACCTGGGGGCATTTCACTCTACACAATTATAGTAATATGATTTCCTTTTAGCTGCCATGATTGAGTCCAATGGAATCATGGGATTTGTAGTTTGGTCTACAAAGCCACTGGCTCGCCTCTCCTCTTCTCTTGCTGAATTAATGGTGTGAAAACTACTTTGCACTTCAAACTCAATTTGCAGAAACTGAAGTAAGCTTGGGGACAAAGGGGGAAAGTGGGAGAAGGAAAGAGAAACAGGGGCATTTTAAAAACAGCTGAAAAGTGGGATGACAGAAGGTTAATTGAGACTCTCCCTGCCAGTTCAGGACAGGTGGAGGCTATGCAGAATCCTCTGCTTCTAAAAGTCACACCAAACCTTAGTGCTGCAACAAATGTTTACCTTGTCATCCATGGTCAGAGCATCCACTTGACAGGTGTTTAAGGATGAAGCCTCAACTCTTCCACTTGCACTTTCTTTGTAGAATCCACCAGTGAAAGGGAAGGACCAGAGAAGATGAATGAATCCTTCCTAAGGGCCACTGTGCCCTTATTTCTGATTCTGAACTTCTTCAAGTTCTTCTTAAAGGCAAGGGAGTGAAAGGGCTGCTCCTGGTCAGAAACTGTGCAGTCTTGGGTAACCAGAAGAAGGGAGGGAGCCAAGGGAGGTGGTGATGATGGGATTTCAAACTGGGCTGGCTTTCTCCCAGTTCTGGAGGATGGGAAGCTGATGAAATTTGACCAGATGCCAAACACATTGGCTGTATAATGGGTGGACTTTTCCTCCAAGAGGGAATTAGAAACATCACAAAAAGGAAGGGAGAGGGTTACAGGAGAGAGAGGCAGGTGGCTGATTTCCTCCCTCCAATTTTGCAAATCCTAGGATCAGTGTTGATTCCAGTAACTAAAATCAACTCCAGAAACAAAATGGCTTAGCTTTTGGTTATGTGTATGTCTGTGTAATACAACTATAGTTGATGCACTTATTGTTGTTGTTGTTATGTGCCTTCAAGTCATTTACACCAAAGGAACCTATCATGGGGTTTTCTTGGCAAGGTTTGTTCAAAGGAGGTTTGCCATTGCTTTCCCCTGAGGCTGAAAGAGTATGGACGTTATCACACGGGGGCAAATCTGCTG